TTCCTGGTGTGTATGTGTATTTGGATTGCGAAAATGCGTAGTGTTTTTGATTTAGTAGAGTAGTTAAGAACATCCATGACTTAACTTAATATTACTCATCTGAAAATAAATGACCATAAGCAATCGAGGAATAAAGTTATATAGTTTGTAAGCCCTGAAATACTCCCAGCTTATTTGTATTATAAATTTCAACAGTCAGTTATAGTCATAATTAGCGTAAATATGGATATTATTGACGTTATGACAATTGAAACAAAATGATAGATTTTAACTATCGATTAAAGTCACGTTTTTCCGTCAGTGTTTCCTGTGAAACACATATTCTTAATAGATTTGTACAAGATTGTAAACACCACTGTTTGTCTATTGTAAAATACCACCAATTCATATTGTGAGATTCGATATAAATCTCAAAAATCTAATTGCGGACGGTATGTCCAGTAGTCCAGCAGCATTAACTATTTTTCGGAAGTGGAAAAGTTTCACTTAATTTGGTGCTTATTGTTTTTTAATCTGATCTGATGATGATTACGAAACTCTCACTACTGTTTGAGGAACTCCTAAGCTTGCCAATTTTGTGATAGTTTCTAACTTAGTGTCCACGTGATCTAACCACCCATGCACATTGTTTCAGATATATATTTAATCAAGGAATATTAAAATGTTTGAGATTCAAAATTATGTGCTAGTTATCACAATCAAGTCACATTTAACCTGGTTTACTAATCTTAGTATATTGCTGAATCAACATAGATTTAAACAATATTTAATATAAACAATAAACCTTTACTTTGATTACTTAAAGGTTAAATAATCTAACTTCCAATCATTAAAAGCCATGGGTTTGAATGACTGTTCTCAGCCTACTATGGTTTATAATAGTCAGTTAGGAAGTGTTACTACCCCGTTGTATGTGTGAACATATGCACAAATTGTAACTTATAATAAAGTATATAGAACATATTCTTGGTAAAGTGAATTGATAATGATAATTATTTTATACTAAATAAAATTCAATCTTCATCAAAATACTTCTTTGTGTCTCTTTTCAGATTTATTAACAAAGATATACCAACATGACATTGTCGGGTTTGTATAGTTGTTTTGTTTTTCTTCAAATAAAATACAATGTGGACTTTTTTTGAATGATTGATCATAACAACAATTTGATTATAGATTGATTGATTGTGAATATGATGATTATCTCATTTTATCTCAATATATTTTGCACTTGTTAAAAAATGCATTAAATAACGCAGATTATTAGTGACAGTGTGTGTGTGTGTGTGTTTTACCATGTAATTTCTAAGAGCAATTGATGTGTATAAAAATAGTTTTATGTAATTAAAAATCAATTAAAAATCAATAATTAAAACTTGTGTTTACTCTGTAAATATAAGTACACATAGTTAGTTTGTTTTCTTTTTTTTCACACAATGAAAAGACGAGGTCATTGAAGCATGCAGATAAAATAATATGTACTTCAATTTATTATCAATACGTTCGTGAATAACTAAGAAAATTATTCTCTGAAATACAAAAAGATTTACTCAAACAAAATAACCTATGGATAATAGGTATATTTCTTGTGATATTCCAATGAGTAGAGAATTGTATCTTTGACGTTTCGTGATTTAGTGTAAGCCACTTCTTCACAGTAAATAAATGACCGAAATGCAATTAACACAAGTTTAAACAGTACATGGGGTTATTTCCTTTGTATTATTTAGAGTTGTGTTGATCTTTTTTCGGTTGGCTATTCACAAAAACAAAAGACACATTTGTTATTAACTTTCTACCCAATGCTCTTTTATTTGAATTAAGTGCTGCTGATAAGTGAATTCCAGGGAACGTAATTGCCCAATTTTCTCTATAATCATGAATAGAGATAGACATATTGAAATTGTGCATATTGATTTATCATGTTAACTGTGAAATTTTCGATATGTTTATTATTTCACTAAAATAGCGATAATGCAATGAGAAGACGTAGTTTATCACAATTATGTGATATATTTGCGCAATACATTTCGAAAAATCTGATCACACATTTATACTTGTTAAGAATATTTATATATGAATAGTAAAAGGTCAACTAGACAGGCTAAGGGTAAGTCATAAGAAAAGAAAAATAAGAAAGTACACAAAAACAAATGTGAATACCACTCTGGATAGTAAATCAGTATTATCAGGGTAGGTTAAATGTTAGGACAAACTGTTTCTGAACACATAAAGGGGTTTTCAATTTCCGTACAGCCAAGGCTTCAATAAACCTTAGTATACGTCCTTGGAAGCTTTTGTACAACACTACAAATGCTGATTTGATGTCTCAATCAAATGTTTCGCAATGGAGGATAATGTCAGTCTATCCTGTGATCTTATTTGACCATTGGAATAGCTTTGAATTATATTGATATTGTTTTTGATTACTTGATAGGACAAATATAGTTTGTGATTAGATCATTCATATCAGATCAACGTTAACATTCACTAAATAAACTTTCTTTTTAATGAAAACATTTAGATTATAGTTATTTCTACAAGATGTACATATCTCAAAACAGAGCGATCAAATAAATTTTTGAACATCAAAAATTATAAACTTTTAAAATTATCTTGAAACTAGTTGAACAATTTATGCACTATTTGTCTTCAGTAATGCAGTGGAAAACGCTTTCTGTGTTGAAAGCGAAAGATACTGAGTCTGGTGCTCGGTATGAACGTAAAAACTTTGATTTTGATCTATCCAACTGGTTGATCCTAAATAAGAAGAAATGCTCATCTTTTGTTGTACTGTTAGTCACAATTCAGTAATATTCTCCGACTAAGTAAAATAAACTCCATACTGGTAATTATTATGAGCCCACTGCCACAAGAATTACTGGCTCATGATGATGAGATTCTCTTAGTTCCAGTGAGAACCCGTGACCAATGGAGTTCAACCTCGCCTGGTGTGAGGCAGTTACTCACTGAAGACTATGATAGACGGTTGCACGAACCCCTAGATTGTTAGGCCAGTTTAAAAGCCCATTCAGAAAAAAAGCTTACACTAAGATCAGATGGGTAGATTGACTAGACTACTTTGTCATACCACAGGGCTGATATTTCTTATTAATAATAAGGGCTTAGAAGAAAACAACGCAAACATGGACCAGCTTCTCTAGGAGTCCAACCGCTATTGTTTACTTCTGAAATAGAACTGCTTGGTAAGTGCGATGAGAAGTATTTCAGTTAACTCGTAAGCAAGTCCAATGAAGTACAAGTCAATCAATCATAGATAACACATTTATTCTGAGAAGTAGTTTCAATGAAAAATATGAGCAAAGTAAACAAAATTCTGCAATCAGGTGCACACAAAACTGATTTCATCAAATGGCAATCAGTGAACATTTGAGATTGCCATCGTCATATAGCGAGAATTTGTTCAAAGCTCAAAAGTTCCATTGATCACTTCTTTTCTAAAAGCTCCATGATATCTCCTACAATATCCTACAAAAAAATCAAAAGTTCGGTCAGAAATCCCAAAACTGAAAGGTGATTACTTATCGATAAAACTGTGTTTCATAAATTTTGTCACTATTAGACATTAAGCATCATAATTGGGACTAACCACCTAATACGGTAGACGGTCAAAATCAAGGAATTGTTTGGTATGAACATACACCAGCTCAATTTCCCACACTCCATATCAGTATTACAAACTACAGAATCAACACTATGTGAAGTACAGTGCATTAAAGATGTATTACAAATAGAAAAGGTGAGATTGGAGAAAGATAATTTACGGATGCCAGACAAGAAGTGGGTTACTCCACGCAATCATAGCTTGCGATTATCTCGCCAATATCAATCAGTAAGTCTGCCCCAAAAGACACAGGGCAGGTAAATGAAGAGAAGAAAATCACTTGTAATAAGTTAGATCTACAATATATATGAATTACGTAGTGTGAGGAAACTAGATATTCCCAACCCTTGAATTCTGCAGTAGTCGAGGATTCCACTATTGCTTGACACAAATTGTGCTTGGATTGATACATGGTTCAATAACCGCTACACACCCAAGTGCTAAACGCGTTAACCGGTGTCACTAAACCAGGAAATGGAAAGATGAAGACTGCCATACAGAAACTTTGTACGCTTCCACGCAAACTGTAATTATTATACCTAGTGCTTGTAGTTCACTGATGTACAACTAATTGCAGACCATTACAAGGCGATATACAAGTTTTTGAGAAAAATCAAACATTAAGTGAACTAGTTCTATAGACGTAGCGGTTAACTAAGATCAGTCCAAACAGTCACGTGTGGACATCTATTAACCTAATAGTGTTGTTGACGAAAATGACTGTCACATTGGAGACCAAGACATACAAAACTGAAATGACAATATTGTGAAGTAACGTTACTCAGTAAAGACACGAAAGTTCGTTCCTGAAGTTCTAGTTTCTTCGGTACAGATAACTATTTCATAACTGAGCCGGGAAAACGTTTTGTCTATGACGTCATGTAGTGCAATGTAAGATAGTTAACTTAAACTCGAATTTCATTCATGAAGTTTGACATGACCAATAACTGAAATATGCAGCGATGGACTTTATTTCACGTACCATAAAACTAACAAGTAACTAAAGTTGATGTTTCATTTTGTCATTCATGACAATTAACCGGTAACTTTATCAACATGTACCGGCTGTGAGGTAATATGCTGTGTCCAGATTGGTTTTTTGACGTATAACCACTATTGAGGTGAGACTAGTTTGGAAACGAATTGATGTAATCATCTAAACAACTAATGTATAGAGAGATCACTAACCAGCTAAATATTCAAATGGGTAAAATTTCCTAGTGGCATCTTCAAATCTACAGGAACTATAGGTTACGTGACTTAACATAACGACATTACTTGCGATCAACCAGGCGGAAGCAATAACTAAGGTTCAATTGTGAATATTTCGCTCCTCAATTTCTGATGTTAGCATATATTACTAATGTTTGTTTTAACACAAATTTCTCGTGACGCACATTATATGGTGACCTTAAGTGATTTGTTTATGAGCCACGTTTTACGTCTGCACGTCATTAGTTGGGAGGAAGCTAACGCACCCATTAAGTGACTGAAAGTTACATACCTAAGAAATAACACAACAAAATACTTAGACAATTAAGAAAAAATCGAAGTGTTTGGGGTGGATTGCTGATTTCATCAATTTATCTTAAGTTACGTCTATCTATTTAGACAGTCAAAACTGATAACTAAATAGAAATATTGAAAATTCAGCAACTCACATTTGGGGCAGTTGTAGGAGAATATCTTTTAACCGGTTGACCTTGACGATCTATAAGGAATTTAGAGAAGTTCCACTTAATATCACTACGACATTAATAAAGAAAACACAATTACTTTGTTAGGGTGCCATGTAGTCTACTTTTAAGAAATTTGTAGAGGTCATCAGCGTCAGACCCATTGACTTTTATCTTGGAAAACATATCGAATTGGACTCCATACTTCTCAGTCACGAACTTCTTAATCTCCGATTCCGCCCAGGGTTCCTGCAAATAACATTGGTTTAAGTGTTACATACCTGTCCGCCGAATTGGTTGCAGGGGAACGCTAATATACGGAGGCCTTTGCCAACCAGTCGAGTGTGCATCTCCTGGAGTTGGCGATAGTTCTTGTCCGTTGCGCCTCACTTACAAGCAACGTTAACAATTAGACAAACGTGACCACTAAACAACGAATAATTATCATTCTATATACAAGAAGAATATCGAACAAACCGGTATTTCTCTAAGGAGACATCCACACCATTGATATCTTTGACAGTGAATTCATATATTGAATTTCAAGACTTGTGAGATGAAGACTTAAGGACGAAATTAGAGAGACCACAACGTACCATCACAGCACATCCAGTCGCAAACAATGATTTGGGAGGTTTGAATAAGGCGCGACAAAACATCGTTGAGCCGGTCTTCAAGTGTTCCAAATGATTGTGAACGGAATTGAAGCAGATTTCAATTTACGAGCCTCCTTGACCTGTAGCACCCCAGGCTATCACCCATAGAAGTGCATAAAGCGCCGACCAGAGTTCTAACACCAACTCTGTGCTGTGTTCTCCTTCCAACTTGTTTACAAGTGGTATTTGTGGCCTCAATCTTAGTCTCTGATTCTCGCTGTCATGTGCTTTGTGATTTGCGTGGTTCATTAATGCCGTGGAGATTGAGTCACTACTTGCTTTGTGATGAGTTAATGGTTTGAGCAAAGTGTGTCCTGTCCACATACAGAGTCTTTTCCTAACCTCCTACATTGTCAGTTGGATTGTCCTCCTCTGCGAGTTAATATCAATCGTCCCTACTAAGTCAATTTGGCGTAATGTGCATAGATAGCCGTCTATAAATACCTGGACATTTTGACGATAATTGTGGTAGGCGTACAAGTTTCTGTCCCGTTCAACCGAACAGTTTCAACGTCTGGTTTGTCAGCTGCGATTCTGATCCCCAGTGACGATTCGTTAGTTTTTCAGGTATTCTCTTTTTCTGCTTTAACAAATTTTACATTCGGATCTTCATTGGATTCCTTTTGTTTATCAGCGACTCTGACTGTGTGTGTCAAGGCTTCCATGACTTCCAAATCTTCCACATCAAATTTGACGTGATTGGTGATTACTGTATTTTATTTCAAGATCCCGACTTTCTCTTTTAAATGTTGAGTTCTACTGAAGGAGAAGCCGTTGCTTCATAGGCTGCTTTCATCTGCATTTATTGCCGTGTGTCAGAAAGTAGGTTTAAGTCACCTGTGGTGGCATAACCGTCCAGCTGTGTATCAAGTTGCCCACCAGATTCGTGCTTGTCCGAAAATGTGAAGGTATAGAGAAGAGGCAGGTCACTACTCAAAATGAATCTGCACACCGCCATCCATATGCGAATTCGCGCGGTAATTTGCAGTAGGAGTTCCGTATGGTTGCCGCGATCTTATCGGCTACTGCATAGTAGTGTCCTATCATAATCAGACTTTTTAGTATGATGATGTATTCCAACAAAACCATTGTGCACCAATGACCAACAGTGTTGCTTTTTTGTTAAGTAATTGATCTGTCTTTGCGAAAGCTAGCCTAGCGTTCCTAAAGTCGGACGTGTACTGAAACTTCCATTCTGTTTGTTGACACTTTTGAAAGTACTGTGGTGACTTTTGAATAACACTGAATGCTCACCATAAATGGCTCGGCCGCTCGGGCTTGTTCGTCTGAACTATTTTGCTTTGTGTCCGCAATACACATATCTTTATGTTGGCATGATACTATTCATTCTTAAGACGTTCCTGTACATGGTCCATACCAACTTCTATGAGGAGAAAAATTCAGGATTACAGTGTTGTGACTTATAGTTAGTGTCAAGTAGATTCTGTCGTCTTATAGTTAGTCCGTAGTATTAGGTTGGATTTACTAATCTGTAAGATTAAGTTAATGTACGAATATAGATCACAAACCTGAATACAATAATCGTTAAGGTCTTTCGCGCGTAGAATTACGGCCTACTTCGTTATTAGCACCACTCTAATAATAGACCTAATCCTATGATTCTAGATTTGTCGTGATGTAAATGCATAATCTATGAGATCTTATGTGGAAGTCATATCACTTTCTACACTGACTCATAGTATCTTAAACTCATCAACATATGATGGAGAAAACAGTTAAGTTGGAGATAGAACAATATATTCAATACAAATATAAGTAATGTTACATGAGTATGACCACACTTTGGAGGCTGAGACAAACCATTCGACGAATTGAATTTCGAATGAATGTTACCGCGTCCACCATTGTTGACCTCCTAATGTCACATCTCGAAAGTCTATTTTCGCAGTTATCTCATGTTCAGCTTTGGGGATCGTGGTTGTGATCCGATGCCACTACAAATTCAAGGACTCTTTTCATTTTGAAACACCAACAGTGGTCAGAAAATTATCGATTCCATCATTGGACTTTCGAAGTCTGGAATAGTCGGGCCGCATTCGAAAAATAGTTTGGTAACCGGAGAGATATCGTTCAAAACTAGCGGTATCTGCTCTCAATAACTGTGGTTACCCGAAACTTCACTTTTTGCCCATTTTTAAATTACCAATTTCAAATATATGTTGCAATATATTTTACTCCTGAACCCTTTCAGTACAAACATGGGATAATATTTGAAACTATGAGAGTCAGTACCTTGCCATTTGCTAGCTATATTTATGATCTTGGTTTGCCACACTGACATTTTGGGATGCAAATGAAAATTTTTCGGGCGAATTCTAATAAGTTTCGAGCAAATACCTGATCCTAGCAAGTGATTTGACAAACAGCTCCATTTGTTAGTACTGCAGTGTATGCTCTTTATGTTAACAGATATAAGTAATATGTAACGCCAGTCGAAAGTAAAAAGCCTGACAGCAGAGGGTTGAGATAAACATAAGAGAATAGAAACGGACTGTAATGGGTGTGGAATTGAAGGAACAATAAAGTATAAGACTATTAATGGGTGTTTTGCAAATGAAGGATTGAACTTATGGTCTATACAATTATGCATCCAAATTAGTAATCCAAAAATGGCAAGGATTAAGGCAACATACATCAATTAAAATCATAGCATATGAACCTTGGATTGTTTGTGATATAAAACAAAATAAAATCCTTAATATTTGGACGACTAATATGTGGTGTGTGGCTGAATAAATTTTCACGTTAAATGGAATTGTGAGACAAATGATAAGTATAAATATGGTGGTCATTGGGTGAGAGAGATCATAATATAATTACAAATAGGAAAACAAGTAATGTGTAGAACAGCATTGACTATGTAGAAATTAGCAAGCAGGGGTGCATGTTGGATAAATGTCTCCAAACGTTTTCTAATATTACAATAATTCCAACCTTCGATCAAGAAAGTGAACTATTCAAATCAAATCCAGTAGATTGCTACTATCAGATTAAGAACAGTAGATATATCTACAGAAGCATCTTAACTAAAAACACAGGGAGACCGTAGTGGCATTAAGCCCTAACATGAGACAATATGGGAAATATTCATTCAACATTTGACACTGGGAAAAACCCGACGATTATGAGGGCGGGAAAAATAAGTTGAATTAATTGATCAGATGGCATGGCTTGGTCATGCAGGCGTGGTCCCTGTTGAATGTTACCTTATATCTTACAGATTAGGCAGTTATATCACGACAAATCTACAATTTTAGGATTAGGTCCATCATTAGGGCAGTACTAATATTATAGTAGACCATAATTCTCCCTTGGTGAACCCGACTAAATAAACGAAACCTATTACTGTTTAGCATCCTGTAAAGACTT